AATCATTATCCCCAGATCACTCAACATCTTGCAGCAGTGAGGACACTATAGACTTTTATAAAAATTTATTGCCTCTGTATTTGTATTCTTAAGTTGTTCCACTCAATTATTGTCTATATTTTTAATGTGTTATCGATATTTTATACAATACGTCATTATCGGATATTTCTTTTAACACTAAATCTTTTTAACGCTAAAATGTTACAATTGTTATTATTAATATGGAATTACATGTGACTTGCAACACAATTCAGGCTGTTTCAGCCTGCAATGTTGTTTTGATGAATAAAGTTTCAAAAAAAAATAACAATGCCTCTACTGTATTTGGTGACAATGAGTTATCTAAACAAGGTGAAACTATTGCGGTTTATAGCGTCCACTACTACCATCAGTACTACCTAACGTACCGGCAGGATGTAGGTACTACCATCAGTACCACGGTCAAACGTACCGGCAGGATGTAGGTACTACCATCAGTACTACCCAACGTACCGGAAGGATGTAGGCAGCAACGAATGTGTAGGTCATGTATCCGGCCTCCCAGGTGCTGTTGGGGTAGAACATGGAGCAGTAAACCTCCCCCGGACCGTAGAAGTCGTACGGCTCCAGACGGGAGAAGATCGCCATCGGCAGCGAGCCCACGATCGACCCTGGAGGGGGATAGAGAGGGTTAGATAGGGCATTACGGTCCGGGTTAGAGAGGGTTAGATAGGACATTACGGTCCGGGTTAGAGAGGGTTAGATAGGACATTACGGTCCGGGTTAGAGAGGGTTAGATAGAGCATTACGGTCTGGGTTAGAGAGGGTTAGATAGGGCATTACGGTCCGGGTTAGAGAGAGTTAGATAGGACATTACGGTCCGGGTTAGAGAGGGTTAGATAGGCATTGCGGTCCGGGTTAGGGAGGGTTAGACAGGTCATTACGGTCCGGGTTAGGGAGGGTTAGATAGAGCATTACGGTCCGGGTTAGAGAGGGTTAGATAGAGCATTACGGTCCGGGTTAGAGAGGGTTAGATAGGACATTACGGTCCGCGTTAGAGAGGGTTAGATAGGGCATTACGGTCCGGGTTAGAGAGGGTTAGATAGGGCATTACGGCCCGGGTTAGAGAGGGTTAGATAGAGCATTACGGTCCGGGTTAGAGAGGGTTAGATAGGGCATTACGGTCCGGGTTAGAGAGGGTTAGATAGAGCATTACGGTCCAGATTAGAGGGGGTTAGATAGAGCATTACGGTCCGGGTTAGAGAGGGTTAGGTAGGGCATTGCAGTCCGGGTTAGAGAGGGTTAGATAGGGCATTACGGTCCGGGTTAGAGAGGGTTAGATAGGGCATTACGGTCCGGGTTAGAGAGGGTTAGATAGAGCATTACGGTCCGGGTTAGAGAGGGTTAGATAGAGCACTACGGTCCGGATTAGAGAGGGTTAGATAGGGCATTACGGTCCGGGTTAGAGAGGGTTAGATAGAGCATTACGGTCCGGATTAGAGGGGGTTAGATAGAGCATTACGGTCCGGGTTAGAGAGGGTTAGATAGAGCATTACGGTCCGTGTTAGAGAGGGTTAGATAGAGCATTACGGTCCGGGTTAGAGAGGGTTAGATAGGGCATTACGGTCCGGGTTAGAGAGGGTTAGATAGAGCATTACGGTCCGGGTTAGAGAGGGTTAGATAGAGGGTTGCTCACCTAGCCACACACCAGCGCTGACGACTTTAGCCATGCGCGGTGTCCGCCACTGTTTGGACTTGATGGGATGGACGATGGCGAAGTAGCGATCCACTGACATGGCGGTCAGGGTGATGCAGGTAGCCGTTACCGTGATCTGTGGCAACACATCATCGTCAGCATAAAACACGGATCATCACCATTAACACACATTATCCCCACCATAAACACACATCATCATCATCATTGAACTCTAACCCAAAGATGGATGTCCACGCAGTCTTTGTCGACTTTACACGTGCTTTTGACACGATTTGTCACGGCCAACTGTTAAGAACCCTGGCGGACATGGGCATTAGACGGTCCTTATGGATGTGCATTGACAGTTACTTGGAAGGCAGGACGCAGAAGGTCAGTTGGGGCCAGTGTTTCTCCAAGTCACACGAGGTCCGAGCAGGTGTCCCTCAGGGCGGTCTACTGTCTCCGACACTGTTTGTTATCTGCATCAATTCCCTGGATGCGACGTTGCCCAAGTCCATCATTCCCGTTAAGTATGCGGACGATTTGACAACATCTGAACTACTAATGGCCTCTCTTCCCGGGGAAACTCAGAAAGCACTAGATTCCATTGTGGAATGGGGTGAGTCTTACTGCCTCGGAGTAAACGGCAAGAAGACCATGGATATGGTTATTAGCGCACGAAAGGAGGCTAACGTTCCAGTTCCTCCACACCCAACTATAGCAGGCTGTGAGATACAAAGGACTACTTCCTTCAAACTCTTAGGAGTGCATATCACTGCCACTCTCACCTGGGATGTACATGTACACTACATGGTGAAAAAGTCCCGTTCTAGTGTCTACTACCTTTCCGCCGCGAAGAAGGCTGGACTCCCTACTGAAACACTGATCCAGATTTACTTGACTTTCATACGTCCTCTCCTGGAGTATGCCAGCCCCGTGTGTGTGGTGGGGGGGGGGTCTACCGAAGCACCTTTCCGACATGTTGGAAGCTGTACAACATCGCTGTCTAAGGATCATCGGAACTCCTAAGGACGCTCTGCCTTCGCTGTCCAGTAGGCGTGACACAGCCACACTGAGAACATTACAGAACATTCTTCAGGACAGCAGTTCTCCCCTGAACGAGTTTCTCATCCCGCCGTGTGACAACCGCTATAGTCTACGGAGAGAGGGCCGCTTCAGAGCAACCAAGAGCAGAACCAAAAGACATGAACTCTCATTTGTCCCCAGAGCACTGAAACTGTATTACCACTCTGGCAACTGAACATGATTCTTACAACTCCATGTCCAACTTACTGTTTCCTAGCTATATGTAAATTATGCATTAATACTTGTTCTTCGAGGAAATACTATATATTGTCAGTGTGAAGTGTTTTTATCGATCTACTCTGTGTATTTTAAACGTTGTCAAATATTGGCTCAATTCATGTTTTTTTTAAACTTTTAACATGCCATGCCAATATGAATAAAGCTGAATCTATCACCATCAAACAGACATCATCATCACATGGCGATCAGGGTGATGCATGTAGCCGTTAACGTGATCTCTGTCAACATATAATCATTATCATAAAACACGGATCATCACCATAAACACACATTATCACCACCATAAACACACATCATCATCACCATCAAACACACACCAATTGTGACCACAACAACCGGTGCCCGCCAGGCTCCAGGGCCCGGCGGGAGCCGGCCGGGGCTACATCCCCGACGGGCACCGGCGCAATTGGGACCGAAGCATTATGACGTACCTGGCTACAGGATGTGACGTACCTGGCTACAGGATGTGACGTACCTGGCTACAGGATGTGACGTACCTGGCTACAGGATGTGACGAACCTGGCTACAGGTGGGACGAACCTGGCTACAGGATGTGACGTACCTGGCTACAGGGTGTGACGTACATGGCTACAGGATGTGACGTAGGGGCTATACAGGATGTGACGTACCTAGCTACAGGATGTGACGTACCTGGCTACACGATGTGACGTACCTGGCTACAGGATGTGACGTGCCTGGTTACAGGATGTGACGTACCTGACTACAGGATATGACGTGCCTGGCTACAGGATGTGACGTACCTGGTTACAGGATGTGACGTACCTGGCTACAGGATGTGACGTACCTGGCTACAGGATGTGACGTACCTGGCTATAGTAAATGACGAACTTGCACATGAACTGTCCGAAGACCCAGCTCGTGAGGGGGTAGGTACTGGCGGTGAAGGGCACCACGAACACCAGAAAGGACAGGTCCGTCACGGCCAAGTTCAGGATGAAATAGTTCGTCACCTGTGAGAAACAAGCACAACCTTTACTTCATTTCACTGCCGCGGCAGTGATCAAAATGTACGCTTCAAACCGCACATCTACACCAGTGTGAATTTACCTGGACTATAGAAGTAACAAAGAAGTAACAAAGCATCTGTCTAATAGAAAACAAAATGAAATAGAACTTATAGATTTTTCTTGCTATAATATAAGTTAACACCCTCCCTGAAGTAGATCTCTCCTGCTAAGAATTTAAACCCTCTTGTACCGACAGTCAACACCTTAATCTTGATTTATCATGTCAGATAACGTTGAGCGTCCTGCAGCAAATGTTGTTATTGACTGGCAATTGATTCTTATAGAGTCTATCTCTCGATGGTCATACTGTCTAGCCTCTGCTTTGATCAGTAGCCATGTAGTCGTCCTCAGGGTATATATAAGGAATACAACACGGGGTATTCCGTATCGCCCGAGGTATCGGCCCGACCGCGATGCGGAATACACCGTGTTGTATTTTGTCATACCCACCTAAGAAAACGCGCCTTTCAACGCAAGATGAGCCAAAAGTTGGTGCCCCTGAACCCTCAAATTAGCAACATCAGTTCCAACGTTCGGATTCTGTATTCGAATTTTCGAAAGCGGCGCACGCAGTTATGGCAGAACGCGTTATCGAACGTTATCGCGGCCCGGGTATGATATAAAATATATATGCGGCCGTCGGGCGATCCGACTCGCGGTTGGGCCGATACCTCGGGCGATACGGAATACCCTGTGTTGTATTCTATATTTATACGTATCTGGTACTATACAGCTGCTATTTCCAGGCAAGAAATTATAAATCGGGGTATTTGATACTTCTCCACGATGTAAGACTATGATGTGTTGGGTTCTTTAACCTTACCGTGTGCATCTCCTTGTTCTTGAGGATGATGTAGATGACCAGGTAGTTCCCCACCAGTCCCACCACCATGATAATAGCGAAGAAAAGCGGCACTAGAAAAGCCTCGGGTCCCGGCTGCCACCAGACCTGCTCGGTGGCGTTCTGTGCATTCCCGCTGCTGATCGTGGCGTTCAGGTCTCCGAAGAAAACGGGCTGGGCAGTCCCGGGGAGAAACGTCCATGGAGTCGAGGATACCGTCGGCAACTCCATCTCCGCGGAGAAATGCGTTAGACTCTGTATCCCGTCATCTGTTGGGGAGCGAAAGGAAATATGATATGGTACGTCAATCCACGAGTTTCCCATCCCCAGAATGCAACCCTCATTTGCATAGGGCTGGAAGGCATCGGAATGATCCTGTTGACGTTAAACAAACTGCTTTTCACTGTGTTTTGAGGTGTTGGGGCATGTTATGCTCAACATTAATTAAATTACTATGGGTTGAATCTGACAACAAATAGAGAATGAAGTTTTAGTGTTCTTTTCAACATGGAACATGTGGTTTGTACGTTACAGCATCGATATAAGTTACCACTATAACGTTACAAACCACATATTCCAAAAAAATTCATTCTCTATTTGTTGTCATATTCAACCCATAGTAATTTAATTAATGTTGAGCATAACATGCCCCCACACCTCAAAACACAGTGAAAAGCAAGCTGTTTAACGTCAACAGGATCATTCCGATGCCTTCCAGCCCTATGCAAATGAGGGTTACCCCCCGCGTTGCATTCTGGGGATGGGAAACTCGTGGATGAAGGTTAGACATCCAGGTAATAAGATACGCCAAATAGCAGTTACTCAAGCAACTGGATATGATTTTGAAAACGTCAGACGTTTCAGCTAGTAACCACTAGCTTTCGTCAGTGACTGAGAGACCAGAGGAAAAAAGCAGGTTTATAAGCACAACCTACTGATTGATATGCAAATAAAGTGAAAAACCATTCTGGTCTCTCAGTCACTTCCGAAAGAGAGTGGATGCTACTTGAAACGTCTGACGGTTTCCAAAATCATATCCGGTTGCTTTTAAGCAATTGGATATGATTTTGGAAACAGTCAGAAAAAGTAAAAGTAAAAGTAACTGCTTTTTGGAATATGATACGGTATCCAGGTGTTTTCCAGAGCAAGCGGGACGCATTTCCGTACTTAAGATTCATCAACAATCTAATTAACTGATACTTGACGACAACGAATGACAATGTTGAAAACTAGAAGAGAGTGTAAACAAAGCTATCACGGCGAGTGAAAACAAAATATCCCCGCATTTGTTTTTGCTTCGTTCAGATTTCAAAATCAAAAGAGTCGCGTGCACAGAGGATTCCAACTCAACAAAGGCCCATCTTTCCTATCGAGCTTTTGTTAACTGCGAAGCGAAACTTGATAGCTCAGGGGAAAGTACGCACATCGTAAACGACACGCTCCTGGATTTATAAAAGAAGCAATAACCTGAGATCTTGATTATTACAACCTGCCCCGCGTATTAGACTTCAGTAAAATTTGTGCGCCCGTCTTAATGTTTGTTGCAGTGCGTTTGAACTTCATAGCTTTCAGCACCATTACTCGTCATGTAGCCCTTTTTAGGAGGAAGATTGCTCGTCATGTTGCCTCTTTTAGGGGAACATAACTCTTCATGTTGCCCGTTGTAGGAAGAACATAACTCGTCATGTTGCCTGTGTGATGAGGAAAGACGTGGTTAAGGCCGCTGGGAGCTGCTATCGTAATGACCAGACTCGCCGACGTGCGTCACGAATGAGCGGATTGTGCACGAACTGGAAAACAACCAGCGGCGCAAAAATGCTTCCCACGATCCTCAGTTCCGGTTACTTATTAAAATCCCTATCAAAGGTGCCGAGGAAAACTGTGTCCTAAAAATGTGACGGCGGACTTATGATATATTAGTAAATAAATAGTGGAGTTTCCAACGGCAGAATGAACAAATTATCATTTTGCCGAGGAAATACGTCAAAGTCGTGTCAATATCAGCGGCAACACAAAATTACCTTTACGTTGTGAATGTTAAGATATGGGGGCTACACCAAATTACCACTATACATGCTACATGTTATATGCCGTTAGGGCCAGGCTACACCAAATTACCCCTACACGCTACATGTAAGATATATGCCTTTAGGGCCTGGCTACTCCAAATTACCCCTACACGCTACATGTAAGATATGGGGCTTTAGGGACAGGCTACACCAAATTACCTCTACATGCTACATGTTAAGATATATGCCGTTAGGGCCAGGCTACACCAAATTACCCCTACACGCTACATGTAAGATATGGGGCTTTAGGGCCAGGCTACTCCAAATTACCTTTACATGCTATATGTTAAGATATATGCCTTTAGGGCCTGGCTACTCCAAATTACCCCTACACGCTACATGTAAGATATGGGGCTTTAGGGCCAGGCTACTCCAAATTACCCCTACACGCTACATGTAAGATATGGGGCTTAATTAGGGCCAGGCTACACCAAATTACCTTTACAAGCTATATGTTAAGATATATGCCTTTAGGGCCTGGCTACTCCAAATTACCCCTACACGCTACATGTTAAGATATGGGGCTTTAGGGTCAGGCTACACCAAATTACCTCTACATGCTACATGTTAAGATATGGGGTTTTAGGGTCAGGCTACTCCAAATTACCCCTACACGCTACATGTTAAGATATGGGGCTTTAGGGCCAGGCTAAACCAAATTACCTTTACATGCTATATGTTAATATATTTGCCTTTAGGGCCAGGCTACTCCAAATTACCCCTACACGCTACATGTAAGATATGGGGCGTTAGGGCCAGGCTACACAAAATTACCTCTACATGCTACATGTTAAGATATGGGGCTTTAGGGCCAGGCTACACCAAATTACCTTTACATGCTATATGTTAACTAAGATATATGCCATTAGGGCCTGGCTACTCCAAATTACCCCTACACGCTACATGTAAGATATGGGGCTTTAAGGCCAGGCTACACCAAATTACCTTTACACGCTACATGTTAACTAAGATATATGCCTTCAGGGCCAGGCTACTCCAAATTACCACTACACGCTGCATGTAAGATATGGGGCTTTAGGGCCAGGCTACACCAAATTACCTCTACATGCTACATGTAAAGATATATGCCTTTAGGGCAAGGCTACTCCAAATAACCACTACATGCTACATGTTAAGATATGGGGCTTTAGGGCCAGGCTACTCCAAATTACCCCTGCATGCTACATGTTAAGATATGGGGCTTTAGGGCCAGGCAACAACAAATTACCTTTACATGCTACATTTTAAGATATATGCCGTTAGGGCCAGGCTACACCAAATTACCCATACACGCTACATGTTTAAGATATATGCCTTTAGGGCCAGGCAACTCCAAATTATCCCTACACGTTACATGTAAGATATGGGGCTTTAGGGCCAGGCTACACCAAATTACCTCTACATGCTACATGTTAAGATATATGCCTTTAGGGCCAGGCTACTCCAAATTACCCCTACACGCTACATGTAAGATATGGGGCTTTAGGGCCAGGCTACACAAAATTACCTCTACATGCTACATGTTAAGATATGGGGCTTTAGGGCCAGGCTACTCCAAATTACGCCTACACGCTACATGTAAGATATGGGGCTTTAGGGCCAGGCTACACCAAATTACCCCTACACACTACATGTAAGATATGGGGCTTTAGGGCCAGGCTACACCAAATTACCACTAAATGCTACATGTTAAGATATATCACTATGCCGTTAGGGCCAGGCTACACCAAATTACCCCTACACGCTACATGTAAGATATGGGCTTTAGGACCAGGCTACACCAAATTACCTTTACATGCTACATGTTAAGATATATGCCGTTAGGGCCAGGCTACTCCAAATTACCCCTACACGCTACATGTAAGATATGGGCTTTAGGACCAGGCAACGCCAAATAACCTCTACATGCTACTTAAGATGTAGGCCTTTAGGGCCAGGCTACACGCTACACGCTACATATCCCTACACGCTACACGTTAAGATATGGGGCTTTAGGGCCTGGCTACTCTAAGCTATCCCTACATGCTACATGTTAAGATATGGGGCTTTAGGGCCAAGCTATATCAAACTAGAGGTCGGAGATCTCATGTCTTCGTCAGAGGTACATCGTTAGAGAAATTAACATGCGTATTCTTCACTCTTTTTAATAATCAATTTGGTCTTAAGAACAAAAGAACCTCTGTACTATTTTTATGGTACAGAACACCCTGAAACGGTTTGCCGCAGATTATACAGATGCGTCGTCACCAGTGTTAGCCCCCCCCCCCTACGTTATTTGAGTTTGGACTGTTACTGGAAAAAAAACGTTCAAGAAATTCTTACTGTGTTGAAAGTGTCACGACAGCGCCGCAAAATATAATAAGAGAAGATGTTATAAAGGAAAGAATCAGAACAGGGTGACTACTGCTGTTTTGTTAATTTGTATTTATGACAAATAGAAGACTTGTTTCTTGTGTTCTTTGTGTCCTAACATTTGTACTTCTACAGTTAGTATATTCCAAATCTAGGCATCTCGTTTTTCGGTCCCTTCGTGTTTTTATTTGCGCGCTTGCCTTAAATTTAAGGTAATTAGATTTAAGGTCTCCAGTGGACGTCATCCATAGCAATTACTTGGTGTGGCCGTAGAAAATAACCTGACATATGTCCAACCTATCCTCCCCCTGCTGAAGTTATAGTACAATCCCTCAATGTAACGTCATTTGATCCCATCCCATTATGGGGTTCCCCGGCTATATCCAGCTGTCGGCTGTCTCCAAGCAGATGTAGGTGGGGGATTTCTAAACACAAAAGGTCCTATTACGGGGACATAACGACCTCCACGACTCTCATCTTTGAACTCAATCTTGGAGACCACCACAGTAACATGCCTATCAAATTTCATTAACTTCCATCCACACATACAAAAGTTATCCTGCTCACAAGAAAAATTAACAAAATGCCCCCTGTAGTCACAACGAAACCCCCCACGAAGCTCAGTAACGAACTTAACCTTGGTCCCGACAATAGTAAGCACCACACCAAGAATTACAATCAACATTTTACAAATACTTGAGTTATCTTGCTAACAAGCCACAAACACAAAAGGTGCACTAACGTGACGCACGGACCCCCCACGAAGCCGAAACTTGTAATTGACTTCGGCCCCAACAGCGGTAATCTGCC